CAAGTTTCGCCAGGGCAATGCTCTTTTTCAGCATTTCAGTCCTGGACCATTCTTCAACAGTTTTTTTCTATTTCCATGAAAGGCAGCAAGGAGACGGATCCGTCTGCGAAGAACGTGGGGGTGCCACAGTGCCAGTGTCGTGGTTCTGGAAAGTCATGGTCGTTGCATGTCATCCGTTCTCTCAATGCTTGAAATTCAATGTCATTCTTTGATCACACCTGTCTCTGCTCACAAGGCATATTAACTGTTTGACCAAACTGCAACTAATGTGTATGTATGTGTGTGTTTGGTGTGTACTTTGTGTGTGTGTTGTGTGAGATGTGTGTGAACACATATTGTAGAGACCTCTGCACAGTAAAAACCATGCACCATACCATCGCAACACCACAGGAGGAGAATACGCATCTGAGTGGAGTCGAGTCCAAAGGCAAGGAAGGAACAACAACGAAACACAGGGCACAAACAGCAAGACAACAAATAGGCTGGAGGGCATGGGGGAGGAGGGAGGGCTGACAACACACAAGGAGCAGACACGGCAGGCAACAAAAATGAACACAGACTTGAAGGCACGAGGGAAATAGAACGGCAGACAACAACAAGCACACTAGGCAGGCAAACAGCAGAAAACAACATCGTACCTGGGGCGAAAGGCATGTGGTAGACGGATGGGCAAGCAAACAGCATAAGGCAGCGAGGGAAACAACAGCAAGACAAACGACAACAACACCCGAAAAAGATACAAGTATAAACCAGGCAAAGACTGAAAAAAATAAAAAAATGAAATAAAACAGATGATGAAAGATTGTTTTGTCGGAATTGCACCCACTCATGAGGAGGCTAAACCCTCGATAATCTGCGGGAATCTCGGTATTAGATGGTTTGGGTCATGAACCCTTTGACCCTTGTTGAAGGCAGACTGTCCCCAAGCGGAACAAAGCAGCGGGCGGTGACCCTGTGGAGCACCAGGCAGCACATTAGAGGCAACACGGCTGCACAACGCCAAAAACGACTGCAGGGAAAAACATGGCACAAACACGGAAGGCACGGCCAACGGATGGGCAGCAAGGCAGCAGAGCAGCGAAGCGCAAGACAACACCGACAACACAGCCACACACATTGAACACAGCAACTTGCAGAGAGCAATATGCAAAGCAAGCAGGCAGCAAGGCGGCGGTGGTGTGCAGACGGGGTCGTCCACACATCCAACATGGAGCAAAGCAGTGCATGACCTACTCACATCACGGTTGATCCCTACAGACTGTTGGTTCCCACCACCCACTGAGCCAGGGAGTCACTCCAACGAACATCCGTCATCACCTATAGGCAACACAGACAACCCGAACTGAGTGGCCCCCATAAGAGTGCAGTAGGCACTCCAAACGAGGAACCACCGACTGTTTGGCACTACTTAAGGGTGCTCAGTTTGGGTAAGCAAAACACTTAGAAAAAAAAGGGGGAGGACAGACAACAACAGGAAAACAAACAAACAAACAACTGAGTGTGTGTGTGTGTGTGTGTGTTGTCATATTCACGATACACTGAAAAAAGCATGACTGTGTGTGTGTGTGTGTGTGTGTGTGTGTGTGTGTGTGTGTGTGTGTGTGTGTGCGTGTATTGTTATATTTTCGCGATACACTGAAAAAAAGCATGACTGTGCTGAACAGACTGTTTCGTCGGACTTTCACCGACTCATCAAGAGGTTGTGTGAGCATGTTTACGTGGGAAGGTTGTATGTGGGCAGAATGGAAAATTTCTCATATTTTTATACCGACTTACAATGAATGGATATTGTATAGAATCAATATATTAATAATATTATGATATTTATGGTTATTGGTAGATGACCAAATGTAAACCAACCCCTGGGACCACTACGAAAAACTCCATCTGGTTTTAAAGTAGTGCCCGCATGTAAGAGAGTCTCAGAGAGAGAGAGAGAGTCTCAGAGAGAGAGAGAGAGAGAGAGAGAGAGAGAGAGAGAGAGAGAGAGAGAGAGAGAGAGAGAGAGAGAGGCAGAGGCGGATGCAGACAGGAAAGGCAAAGAGAAGAATAGACGAACACGTGGACGGAGAAGATGGAGGAGGCTGGACGAGAGGGAAGAACGTATGACGGAGAGGGCTGGAGACAAAGAGCAAGAGGCAGTTAGGAGATGACAGACAGTATAGTGGGGAAAGAAAGAAGTGGTGTGGGTGGACAGCGCCAGTGTGTGGCTGAATTAATTCACTTGATAAATTTTATTTTATAATTAGTAATTAATAATAATTAGTAATTACCGTTCTAGGAGCTGCCTCTTTCAGGAGCCTGCACACTAGCTAATTACTATTTACTATTTACCTAGGCTGAAACCGTATTCACCAGTTTGCAGTAGCCGATGCAGATCCCAGGGCTCGATCCCCTAGTCCCCACCTTACCTGTGTACAGTATCTGTGTCGACCCCTAGAGTTGAACCCGTGACCTGTATATTTGTAACAGTTGGTAGGCTGTCGTAGGGTCCATAGGTAGCAGGGGTTCGATCTGTAGACCTGTCGAGTAGGAGTCTCAGTCAGGTCTAGAAGTCGTAGACGTAGCTTTCTCAAAGGGTCAAGGTCGTAGCTGCTACAGTCCAGAAAGGTCAAGGTCGTAGCTGCTACAGTATCGAAAGGCCAGGTCTACGGCCTTCCGGAAGGTCCGAGTAGTGGCCTTTCGAAGTTGCCCACGTTTAGACTGAGGCAAGTGGGCAAGTGGTGGAGTCTACCCGTGCTGAGTCAGCAGTCAGCAGTCCCAGTCAGTCGTGGTCCAGTCAAGCAAGTACCGGATGGGACTGTGTGCACTACGGGCATGGGAAAGGGCCAGACCAACGAGCTGCAGAAGTATAAATCAAGAGGCAGCGCGCAGTCATTCATTCATTCCTGCGTGAGCCATGCGGAAGCGCTGCCATAAGCGACTTGTGCGAGGTGGTCTGCAGTGAGCCCGAGGACAAAGTGGGCAAGAGAGAAGGAGCTTAGCCATAGCGATAGGGTAGTAGCGGCCATAGCCGCCATATCTGTAGGTAGAGTTCAGTGTGTGTGTGTGTGTGTGTGTGTGTGTTCAGAGTATCACGTGTGGGATATCCAGGGTGATCCTGTGTATGCGAACAGAGAGTTGTGTGGGCGCTGAGTGGCCATAGCCATCGAAATGAACTTGTATCTGAACTGTGTTCTCGGTTACCACATCCCTGAGTTCTGAGTGGGCGCTTGTCACCAGTTTGCTGTGCACCTGTTTGCATGCTTGAGAAGTGTGAATGAGAGCGAGTCTGATTGCAAGGCTACCAGCCGGGCCACCCGGGTCCCGGGTGGCCAGCCCGTGCAAGGAAGGACCAAGGAAGGTCCCAGCAAAATAATAATAATAAAAACAAAATACCAAAAAATTCGAAAAAAAACTATGTTATGCAGAAAAATAAACTGAACAACTTTTTGCCTCAGGGTCACATCGAAATTCTTCACCAAATTTAGAATAAAAAATAAAGTTCAAAAATAATATTTTTATTTTTATTTTTTTCATTTTTTTTCACCCGGCCGGGCAAGTGACCCCGGGCCACTCTGGTAGCCTAGCTATTTAGTCATTACTAATTAGTAATTACGCCTTTTATTTTATAATTACTAATTCACGTTGAACTTCCTGATTTGTTCAAACTTCAATTCAAACTGTCACATGTTCTTCCGCATCCCCCCACTAGCACGCTCAGGCCGCTCGTTTTTCCTTTTTTTCTGTTTTTTTTTACCTCAGGCCGATCTTAAAAATGAAAAAACAAAAGAAGGGTCCCATGTTCTTCATCGTATTCCCGTGTAATACTATTTTGAAATATTTTGCCGCAACAGTTGTTCAGTACCTGTGAAAAAAAAAAAAAAAAAAAAGGGTCGCACGTGCCGATTATCGATCTTTGTCATCATCAAAGGATAACGGGGTGTCAAATTGTCAATGCTGGCATTATGCTGCCACTCCGACATCCCTACAGTTGAGAACATGAAATAGTAAGGCCCCAAAAATTCCCAAAATCCGTTTCTGTGCTAAGCCTTGCATGTGTATGTGGTCCAGTGTGGATGCACAAAAATGCTTCAGCTTCATCTACGTATGATCTGATTAATGTCCACATGGGCGTGTAGTTTGTCTGAGTTGGCATGTCTTTGCAGCGGTGGAGCGCAGGTGAGGCAGTCTTTCTACACATCCAACACGCAGCAAAGCAGCACATCACCTACTCACATCACGAGTGAACCCCGCAGACTGTTGGTTCCCACCACCTGCTGAGCCAGGGAGACACTCCGACGAATATCGGTCATCGCCCGTGGGAGACACAGACATCCTGGACTGAGCAGGCCCCCTAAGAGTGCTGCAGGCACTCCAAACGAGGACTGACCGATTATTTGGCACTGCTTGAAGGTGCTCAGTTAGGCATACAAAAAGAGAAAAACACAAGGAAGACAGGGAAGACAACAACAGAAAAAAAAAAAAAAAAAAAAAAAAAAAGACATTATACATAAAGAGGAGAGTGTGTGTGAGTGTAGATGCATAAGAAAGTTGATTGATTGATTGATTGATTGATTGTGTGTGTGTGTGTGTGTGTGTGTGTGTGTGTGTGTGTGTGTGTGTGTGTGTGACACCCACCACCCAGTGTCCCGCCAGGGGGATGGCTGGATGGACTAGTGTCCCAGGAGCACTAGGTCATCCAGCCTTGTGCTCCATGGACACCACACACACAAACAGACAAACACCTACACCTCCATCTCAAGCAATCAATCGTGCAGCGTAAGACCAAGGACAAAGCACGGAAGCAGAATGCCATCAAAGTTGCAACAGCATATGCCAATCCCCCAAAACGTAAAATTTGGTAGAAATGATTAGCTATGAATCATTCAAAACCTTATCAAATAACCATCGCTTGTTCATTAAAAAATAGCACTTCGAGCCTAGTGTACTAGTTTTCGAACTTCATTTTTTAAAATGATTTATTTGGACCTCTGTATACGTGTGCAACAACGTGCGTACGCATACGTATTTATTTATTTTTAAATATATACAATATAATAGTAATTATATACTATATACTACTATATAGTATTTACGTATTCCATACGTGCGTGTGGCAGGGGAGAGAGGAGGACGATGGGGAGGAGGAGGAAGACGACACTGGGGAGTGTCACCCTTCGTCTTCCTCCTCCCAGGCTCCCCCTGCCCATCGTCCTCTTCTCCCTTGTCATCCTCTTCCTCCTCCGCCTCCCCAGAGCCATCTTCTTCCTCCTCATTGTCCCCATTGTCGTCTTCCTCCTCCTCCTCCCAATCAGCCTCCTCCTCCTCCTCCCCATTGCGGTCTTCCGCCGCCGCCTCCTCCTCGTCATCCTCTTCCTCTTCCTCTTCCTCCTCCTCCTCCTCCTCCTCCTCCCCTTCGTCGTCTTCCTCCTTCTCCTTTTGTCATCTTACTCCAGTGAAAAAGGAAAGCTCACATGGCACGGGTGGACGAGGAGTACGACGGGGAGGAGGAGGAGGAGGAGGAAAAGGATGATGAGGAGGCGGAGGAGGAAAAGGACGATGAAGAGGAGGAGGAAGGCATGAGGGGGAGGAGGAGGAAAACGATGCTGGGGAGTGTCGTCTACCTCCTCCTCCTCGCCATCGTTGCACCCTCTTCTTCCTCCTCCTCCTCCTCCTCCTCCTCCTCCCCATAGTCCTCCTCCACCTCCTCCTCCCCAGTGTCGTCTTCCTCCTGTTCCCCATCGTCGTATTCCACCTCCAATAACGATTTCATTTTTCCAAAATGGACATTTTTTATTTTTTGAACGGAATTGAAACCAACTAAATTGGCCCGATTGAGGTCAAAAGTTTACCCTCGTGGACTCCAGCTAGGTCCAGATACATCCAGGGGGTAGGGTGTCTTAAGAACGCTGTACCCTCAAAACGTAAAAATGTCAACCTCATTCAGGCCAATTTAGTGGGTTTCCATTGTGTCCAATGTTCAAACAGTCCATTTTGGCATTTAGACAAAATTGTCGTTCTCCTCCTTATAGTCGTCTTCCTCCTCCTCCTCGCCGTTATCATCTTCCCCCAAGAAAAAAAGCTGATTTGGCAGCAGAGGGAGAGGAGGACAATCCAAAGGGGGGGGAGGAGGAGGAAGACAACGACGTTGTCATCGAAGGTGCCCTCTCTCTCTCTCTCTCTCTCTCTCTCTCTCTCTCTCTCTCTCTCTCTCTCTCTCTCTCTCTCTCTCAGAGTGTACACTGTTTTTTTTTTATTATTATTATTTTAATATAACATCCCTAAATCTAACACCCCCTGACCTCTAAATACAACACCCCCTAAATCCAACACTCCCTAACCTATAAGTATAGCACCCCCTAAATCTAACAACCCGTTACCTGAAAATATTACACCCCCTAAATATAACACTCCCTAAATTCTTGGAAGAAGGTAATGTAGGAGTTTTATGTATCAGGCTCTTTACATCCTCGCAGAGCAGTGGTCATAATACGACCGCATCTGAGTCACGCTCCTGCCTCCCCGCAGTAAGGGCGTGACCCTGTGTTCATGCTTTTGGAATACAAGAGCATGGCTGTAGTAATGACCAGGTTCATTCCTTCATGGGATGAATGTGGCCGTAATCATGAACATGGATGTTACAGTCGTAGTAATGGCCAGGTTTGCCAAATGGTTCAGGGTACACAAGCACAGCCCACCTGCATGGAACACACAACTTCGGCTGTCATACGGCAAAAGAAAACTTAAGCCGTCCTGCAAAAATGTTCGTGCTGAGACTGAAACACGAGAAAAGGGTTTCAAGGCTCTGATGGTCCCCGGGCCGCCCGGCTGGGGGAAAGTCGCCCGGGCACCCTCCCGGGCGGGGCCCGGTGTGAGGAAACCCGGGGAGGGGCCGCCTACTGTTCGCTGAAGCCAAGGGCAATGGCACCTGTCACTCGCCGTGCCCGCTTCCGAGGTCCTCAGTGATCAGCAGGGAATCTGTGCTTGTATTGCCTGTCAAGTTTCCCTCTTAGTGATCTTTAGATGATTGTCCTTAGCTCAAGTTGGTCGGGAGCGGAAAGAGGTTGAAGAGTCAATGGAAACAAAATTACCCTCGCCCGCTGTTCCAAGGGTCAAACAGAAATCTCTCTTAATATTGGATTCTACCTGCCCTTATAATTTTCGAGGATGTGTTAGAAGCCTGCTTCACAAGCTAGATAACGGATGATACACCTGCAAATGCAACAAGACTTATCGACATAGGATTCTGTTGTAGTCAGCCTGCACATAGATGGCAAGCAAAGTCTGCCCTTTTCGGCGGTTATTACATTAGCCTTTACGTCAATTTATTCACGGGTTCTGTCCCATCAAATCAAGATAGCACAGGGTGGGGAAAACTAAATAGAAAATTCGGGGAACTTGGTCCGCAGAGCTGTTTGATATGTCTCATTCAATGCTCAGTTTCACAACTGTTCTCGAGAATCCATCCGCATGTTCTGACACCCTCCGGGAACTCAAACTTTTCAGTTCGGTTCAGAAGTCTACACGGCTTTCTTGGAGCCTTACCAACGCAAACTGACTCATCTGACTGATCACGCCTTCACCCGCTGACATTAAGGAATTTCCCACTGTCAAGATCTATATTTTCAGTGAACTGCAGTTTCGAACACACGTTCACCATGCCCTTTCACCGACTCTATTGAGGGAAGTTCTCTCGTCCTCTTTCCTCCACCCCTCTTTCAAGTTCCCTCTCTTCCTCCCTCTTCGGCGATCCAACAATTGTAGGGGATATGAGCATTTATGCATATATAGATGTGAGTATATGTATATCTATATGTATATATATATTGAAAAATACTCCTTCAAGGTATCCAGCAATTGTCCAACTCTGCAAGTGAAAGCCACTTGCACACTAGAGTGGTTGAGATACCTGTGTTCAGTGTGGTCACTCAATGTAACGAAATCAGCAAAAGCCTTCTTCTTCACTGCGGCCCATGTGTCCGCCAACTACTGCATGTTACACCCCAGATAGAGCGTGAATGTATCTGCCTCGACTGTGTTTACCCGATAGAACATGATCACCGTCTCGCTGGCGGGTCGGAGACGCCTTATCTGCAGCTCAATCTGTTCACACCTCTCTGTACTGACCTTCCTCGATCTTGACCCCCAGCCTCTGTTCAATGGACTGTTTGAGCCATGATCGTGGCTCGCTCGCCCTGCGTTCCCCTGTTTAGAACCGTCCCCGCTACCTCCGATCGTATGTCCCCACCTCGTCGCTGATTATCTCGGTCGCGCGTTCACCCGTTCGTCCGACTCTTTACTACGGGCACAGGGCGCGCGTTTCCAGACTGCGCCCTTTCGCGCTCCCCCCCCCTTTCGCATCTCCTAATTGCGAGCTCCTTGCCTCGCTTGCCAGCTGTGCCTGAGATACGTGAACCGAGAGCCTCAAATTCGTTGTAGCCCCCTTCTCGTCTGTACCCGCGGTGTTTCTCTCCGCCCTTCCCTCTTCAAACTCCCTTACTGGGTGTGCTTCATCTCTCTTTGCCTACATGTTCTCCCTCGTCAGCCCACTGCCCTTTCCTCTTCACTTCCGCCACCTACTTAGCTCTAAGCTCTCTCTCACCAGGCGTGCCTGAACGCGACCTTTCTCCCACGAAAAGTCCCAGCTCATGTCCCTCCAGTACTCTTTGTCGATCTGCGTTTGTCGCTTCCTGGCTCCTAACTGGGGCTTGTTTCTGCTCAGTGCCTGGCCAGTACCGTCTGAGCACGTCTCATCCAATCAATTCGGCTTCGAGTCCTCCCGCTGCTGAGCTACTAGCTGGCTGGTTCAGATATGAATGAACCTGGCAGCGGTAGTCGTCAAGTTAATTAAATTTGGATCATCCAGCAGGCTTGTACTCTTCACGCTAGTTTGTGTCACTGTGTGAACTTGAGTTCGATCCCGGTGTAGTTTTCTAGATTTCGAACTTGGATGCTCTTCGACTTGCTTTCCTCGCCCATGACCTCTGCCTCACCGCCCTTCTATCACCCTCTCAGTCCGTTGTCGTCAGTTCGCGCCTGTTGACCAGCGTACGATCATGTTCGAACGCGATTTCTTGTGCTTATGACCACATACGTATTGTGCCCATTTCCCTCCTCCACTCGTACAGGTCGCCTCTCTCTGCCCTCCTCGCTTATCTCTCTCGTTGTCAGGCACAACCGCACTTACTCTCTCTCTCGCTCTCAACCCCAGCCCTTCAGGTATCCATACTCGCGTCCGTACGAGCGAGCGGCGCGCACCCTGGACCCTCCAGCGTCGTCTGCTCTGGTTGTTCCGTCTTACCTCACCATTCCCCGCTTACCATCCAGTCTCTGATCGATCATCACGCACACGTACGAAACATGCACCGCGCCCAGTGAGCTAAACCACTGTGCACGCCGTGCACGCTAATCCACGCTCCTTCGAATCCCCCCGTCCTGGTTCCTCAGTCGGCCCTATATCAGTAGACCCCGACGCTAGGCCCACCTAATCCTCATACTACTACCACCCTCTCTTTCGCTGGTCGGCCCCACGTATTAACTCCAACACTTGACCGTGGCCAAATCCAGCCTCACAGGCCTGGAGCGGCGACGGTACTAAGGCAGGCGGACCCAAGCAACCTTCCCGTACCATCGGCCAACGGACAGCCCGACCACCATGCACCGCCGATATCCTATCAGCACCAAGCGCCAGTTCAATTGGTACCAATGGTACCAGACCAAACCTTTCTACCATCAGCCACGATACCACTACCACCGAGGGTTCAAAGCCTGCATTCTTAGATCAACGAACCGAACTTCTAGTGTCCGGTACATCCGGAGGCCCAAAATCATATTAAAAATCCTGCAACCGAACCGGGATGAAGTGCAGCAGTCGTCATCCAATCTTCAATATCGTACCAGGGTATATCCATGTCAAACAGTCTTACCACCATGCCTCTACCGAGCCTGCATCCGTACCAATATGATCGAGGGGTATTTACGTCAAGAAGCAACAACCTTCGACTGCAGTAAACTATGACAGCATATCACCAATTACTGTACCCAGTTATCAGGTCAAGACAGCAGTATCCTGCCCCGGTACCGTGACAATGCAAAACCAATAACCGTACCATGCCGCGAATGCCAATGCGCACCAGTTCCGAACCGGCCCCCCGTGATCATCCCGAACCAGTGTACCGTGCCGAACCAACATCGAACCTGAGTTAAGTGACTCAAACTGCAGCGACTCTTCCACACTGGTTCCGAACCTGAAATAATCATTTGGAGCTGCAGTAACCCGTACCGTACCAATGTCGAACCAACACCGGACCTGAAACAACCGTCGCTGGCTCCAGTGGCCTATACCATACTGAACCTGACCCATGCCGAATACCGTACAAGGCAGCCATGTCGTGATATACCACCGAACCTGCCCCGAACCAGAGTGTAGTACCCGAATCGATCCAGCATCCCCAGCAAAGTAATAGAGTCGTGCGGCACATCCCAAAGTAGAATCATCGGCACACCAAGCCGACCATGCAGCCCCACTCACTCAAAACACCCAGATTACGGTGAGGGTAGCAATGAGGTTAATCAGGTAATTCAAGAGAGGGTACACAATTATCGGGGACTCGAAAGAATTGTCGGTTTCAAGGTAAGTAAATAATTCGGGGCTAAAATCCATCGCGAATAATTTTAATAAGACTCAATCAAATAATAAATAATCATTGGTTTTCTTTTTCTTTTACCATTTTTAATTATTTCTCTCATTCTTAATTCTATTATCTGAAATAATGAAAATGACGACCAATTTCATCGAAATAAATTTAGATGAAATTTAATTAAATAGCAAATATTCCTTTGTTCTCCCTTTCTTTTATTGTTTTTGATTCTTTTCCTTATTTTTAATTCTATTACCGGAAACAACGAAAATGAAGGGCGATTCCATCAAAAGTAAATTATGAGGAAATTCAATCAAATAACGAATATTCCGTTATTATCTTTTCTTTTAGTATCTCTAATATTTTTTCCCAATTTTAATTTTATCATTGGAATTAATAAAATTTGAGGCCCCATTTCCCCGTTAATTGCCTAATGTAGAAGAGTCGTGCCAAGGCCTACTCCCGCATTCCCGTTCCAGGGCCAACCGTTTCGGTTTTAGACCCAGAAGGCGTGAAAACAATAGGCACTAGGCACGACAGGCGTGGCCGTCCTTTTTGTAGATTTCAAGGGTCAGTCTCCACACTCGACGCGGGGGATTTTAGGGGTCTCTTTCCGACCCCTAATTTTTCCCAATGGATCTGATGAAAGTCCCGGTCAACCTTTCTCTAAGCAATCAATCCAAGGGTCAATTCGTAGAAATTCGGGTGGCCGACTGACCTTCGGCCGCCCGACAAACAAGCCCGGACCTCTTCTCGACACCCCCGTCGAGCCCGCACTGCCATGATCAGACGAATCGTATAAGATTTAGACTGATCACACGAGCGCGACGATTATGTCTGCGCTTATCTGTGTGGCGCTTAGGTTACTCTGGAACTCGCTGACTGAGAGGGTGTTTCTTCCCTTTCTTATGTCGCGGTCGTTTGGACTTAGATGTAGGAGTGTTTTCTCGTTTCTTCTTTCGCTGGGGTAACAGTGCCGAAGATGCCCCGTCTCGTCTAACGCGGACTCTGCGTCTAGGTCTCCGTAGCACAAAAAGGCATTTCCTTTTCTTTCCCAGAGCCAAACCCTTCACTTTCCTGGTCTCCACTCTCTTTATTTTCTTCGAACTCTTCCCAATCTCAAACCGTCTTGTTTGTCCTACATCCGCCACCTTCACTTTCCTCTTCCCCTTAGGGTCTGACAGTGTCAACGCAGGAGTAGGGGTATTCCTTGGCTTAAACAACTTCAGTCTAGCCCCTGCCACATAATCCTTCCACTTAGACCCATCTAACTCAGCAATCATATATGCTCCCCAACTGAGTGCGCCGACTACGCGGTAAGGTCTCATCCATCTGTTCGCCAACTTTCCTAACCACGTCCTTTGTAGCGCTGCATCGTAGAGAAGTACCGTATCACCCACACTTATCTTATCCTGTTTACTCCTAACATCCTTATCCCATCTCTCCTTGCCTTTGCCTCTTTCCACCGCCAATCGATCAAACGCGGTCATGAGATTGTCCTTTAATCCGTAGGCTGTCTGTCTACTCCTAGCCGCCAGAAGCTCCTCTCGTGACATACTATCTTCCCAGTCGACTGTAGTCCAACTATCCACATGAACCTCTATGGGCAGAGGGCAGTGCCTCCCGAACCATAGAGTGTAAGGCGGGTATCCTGTGCTAGCTCAAACTGTGACATTATCTGCCCAAATCGCATACCGGAAGTATTTTGGTCAGTTGTTATCTTTACCTCTACACCACTTCGACAGTGATGCTATCAATGATTGATGGCCTCGTTCTACAGGTGCGTTGGATTGAGGGTAATAGGCAGTAACTATTGATACTCTAGCTCCCGCTTTCTTGAACACATTCTGCACCTCATCCGCTAGGAACTCCGCTCCCATATCCATCATAATCCTACTGACACACCCATATCACTCCAGAACAAAGTTCTTGACTTCCTTTGCCGCCTTTGTTCTGATAAGCTTTCCGTCGACAAACCAAGTGAAGTCGTCTTTGATGTTCACGACATAATTCATATTGCCTACTCCCTTCGGCATCTTAACTAGATCGATGTGCACCTTCTCGCCCGGTCGAGTAGGATAGGACGAATGAAGCGGCTCCTTGTATCTCACAAGCGATCTCTTCTGACACTCCTCACAGGTCATACAATATTTTTCAACGTCCTTGTACTGACCTTCCCACCAGTATAGTCTGCGAACCTTCTCATATGTACCTTTTACTTCTCTTTGTCCACCGACCACACCGTCATGTAGTTCCGCTACTATGGACTGCTTCTCTTCCGGATCACAGATCACTCGCAGAGGCATTCCTGATCTTGTAAGTCTGCGGAACAAATGCCCAGACCTAAGGCAGTACTGTGCTGCCTGTCTTCTAATCTCTGAGTCCGAGTTCTCTTCTCCTGACAGATGCAGTCCTATAGTCCGGTACTTACCTTCATAAAGATTAACTAGGAAGCGATTTGTCCGTCTAGGCTCAACCATAGTCAGCGCGGCGGCCACTATTGGTCGCTCCGCCTCGATGAGAATTCGCGAAAGCCCATCAGCTACCGCATTCTTTGTTCCCGAGATTCTCTCCGCATTATAGTCATAGAGTCGGATCCTGATCAGTCATCGCACGATAGTGGGATCAATCAGACTGAAGTCTTTCTGTAAAACCGACACTACCGCCGTAGGATTTACCCGTAGAATAAATCGTCTCCCGTATATGTAGTGTCTAAAAGCGTCCAAGCACCGTAAGACAGCTAACGCTTCCTTCTTGAATTGACTATAGTTGCGTTCAGCGGTGTTGAGCGTGCGAGTCTCGAACCTCAGTGGCCTCTCCTTACCGTCGGCGTCCTTCTGAGAAAGTAGCCCTCCAACCGAACATGACCCAACATCCGTAGACACTATGAATGGCCTGTTGGTCTCATCCTTGAAAAATGGCACACCTAGGATTCGTCCCCCTTCTTTAAATTCTTCCTTGAGGGTTCGTACCGCAAGCTCCTGAGGAGAATCCCAATAGAATCGCTCCATTTTCCTAAGGAGAGTTCGCAGAGGCTCTGCCTTCTCGGCATATCCACGTATAAAGATCCACCAGTAGCCCACAACTCCTAGGAATTGGCGGACTTCGGTAGTGCTATGTAACGGGGTTGGCCAGTTTAGGAGTTTATCTAACTTTGTCGGGTCCGCTCGGCGCCCTCTCGAATCACATATGAACCATAAAATCTTAATCGTCGAGACAACCCACCGGTTTTTCGTTCCACTAGCCGTCAGTTTAGCTTCATCTAGCTCTTCCAAGACGGCGTAGATATCCGTTAGGGGCTGCTCTACGAATCTCCTAACGCGAGGAGCAACCTCCGTCTCATCTTTCAATACAGACCCTTTTATCGGAAAGTCGTCCAAAAGGACTTCAACTTTATCAGGAACGCGGTCTTTTAGAATAACAACCATAGCTCTCTGGAAGACCGCAACCCCATTGGTCCACCCCATGGGCACAACCATCATCTGCACTAGTCCGAGCGGCGTGTGCATGGCAGTGAGGTGCATATCCCTAGGATCTATGGGTATCTCATCATAACCTGAAAATAGATTGCAGACAGAGTAGATAGACCTCCCTGCTGCTCCTTCTGCCAATAGATCAGCGTGCGGTATGGAACCCACATCCCGAATTGTAACCGCATTAACCTTCAAAAGATCTTGAATACATCTGATCTTCCCGTTCGGCCTCCCGTAAAAAGAACCACCTGTTCGCAT